GCTGCCCCGGCTGCTGCGCCTGGACTGTTACACGCGCTCTGGGCGCACAGATACTATAGCTTCCTCCCTCCTCCCTCCCTCCCACTCTGCGCTCTCCAGGCAGCCTCTGCTCCTGCTTCTGCTGCTCCCTCTCTCCCCTCTAGGACACGGCATTTGCTCTGCCCATTCCTCGGAGGTGGTTTTGCTCCGCGGGGCTCCGGCCCCCCTGTAAAGCAGACTCCTCCTGCCACCCGGCAGGGAGCTGCTCCAAACTTTCCTGCCGCTCCGCTCCCCTCCCCTCCCCGCCTCCCACAACCTCGGACCCACACCCCGGGAAGAGGCAGCTGAGCCACACGCCGCCCTCCAAAGACCTTGTGCAATTCAGTGCACCAGCCATTTAGGACTGGGAACAGCAGCAGCAGCTCATTAAGAACCAGGACCGGAGCCACACAGCCCTGCCAAGTCGCCTGCTCCCCCTCCGCGTGGGTTTTGGGCCAGTGAAGTGGATGGAGAAGAAAACCGGGATGCGACTGAGTCACGTTTGCTGCATTTTTTATCAGCTGTGTTTCCTGTCAAGTGGAATCATTTCAGGTAAATTTATCTTTCTCTCATGTCTGCATTTCCCCTCATTACAAGGGTGGGCGGGGAGGGAAATCAGTGGTCCAGCATATCCTTGGTGCTTTCTCTCCTCTGCTCACACTAGCCTTACTATGCTGCTAGCCCCTACATCTGCTCACAGATGGATCAAGCAGGTATAAAATAGACAAGGAGTGATTCTCAGCTGTGCAGTGCTTCTTGTATTACATCCCGTTCCTTCTGTGTTTATGCCTGTATCCTGTATTTTCCTATTTCTGAATGACATAGCCGTGTTGTGTGGCTGTCCACTAGTTGTGAATAACCATCTCTTTATGATTTGTATGTACATTACCCACTTGTGGACCCACCTCCAGCTTGACTAGAAATGTCCGTAAAGTACTTTGGGAAACATATGACAGCTTCTACATTATACACACACATACTTTGCATGAATATGCTCTGAATGTGATCTTGATAGAGGTTTTGTTTTGGTGTGTGTGCACATGCGCACGTGTGGTTCAGGGACATGTGTGTTTAGCAGCATTGTAATAATATGTATGCTATGATAGCACAGGCGGTCTTAAAAAGGGCTGATGGCAACACCATTTTCATGAATTTTGTCCATTTTTTTTCACTGCAATGTCAACCAGTTTTTATGACCAGCTCCCGAATGAAATGTCTTTGAAAAAGTTTTGTCATGTTTTTGCGTAAATGTTTTTTTTTTTGTTTTGCTCGGAGCACGGTGTTTAATAGGAGGTATTTACTAAAGAAACAAGTATGATGACAGATAGGGATATACACAAAGCTAGAAACTGAGCTGCATGGAAGCTGTGTCTCCAGTGCTTACCAAGAACGGCACCCTGTCTGGGATTCCTCAACAGCACATAGAAAAACCTAGTGACTGACTACATGTCACACCGTATAGGGAGGGGAATGGAAATTTGGTATGTTTTGTATGATGGGTTTGGCAGTGGGGAGCACTGGCTGTCAATGCCACCAAGTCTGACCAATGCCACCAAGTGGTGGCCTATACTGTGATTTTTGTGAGGTTGTGTAGATGTGCCCTTGCCTATATTGTTTAATCACAGCCTGGCCTTCCCACAGGTCTGCATGCTTCAGGAGACTCTGAGGAATGGGAGATTGTCTTCCCAGCACTGTGGAGCAGGGGCCAGCAGGAACCGGCTGGAGGCAGTGGTGGAGGAGGCAGCTGCAGTACTGATCCCAACTGTGGGAATAAAAGCAGCACGAGCAATGCTCCCACCACCACTAGTCCAGTAGCAGGCAGCTCCCGTGAGGTCCGTTCAGTCTCCTCTTCAGTAGACAGACAGCCACAGCCAGCTGGAGAGGCAGCGGAGGAGGAGGACACAGAAGATGAGTATGAGTCTCAGGAGTTCTATCACTGGTCTCCACTTCCTCAAGGATCTGGTGCTATTTCTCAGCTACCCCCACCACCTTCCCCACCTCCACCTCCTCCTTCAGAGGATGGGGATGAGGTGTTGCTGAGAATCCCAGCCTTTGCCCGGGAGTTCTACCTGCTGCTCAAGAGGGACAGCCGCTTCCTGGCCCCTGGCTTTGCAGTAGAGGAGCGTCTCAGGGGTGAGGGGAAAAGTCCTCCAGGTGCTGCGCAATCTCAGCCTGAGAGAGCCTGTTACTACAGTGGTGCTGTGCTTCACTACCCTGGTTCCTTTGCATCTTTCAGTACTTGTGGTGGATTGGTAAGGCGGACGCTCCCTTCAAGCAGAATCTCTCTCTCCTCCTTTCTAGTCTCATGATCATCTGGTCCTTCTTCCCAGTCTCATCCCATTTCCTACAACCTTTTCTTACCTAACCCTTCCCTCCCAGTTCCTGCCTTCCAAGCCTCTCATGCTACACTCATTCCTAATACAGGCATCCCGCATCCTACGCGGGGGTTACATTCTGAAGGCCGCGTGTAAGGCGAAAATCACGCATAGTGAAATCGCATATTACCGTGCCAGCAGTGACTACCTCTGCCTCCAAAACTTCCTGCCGCCACTGCGGAGCCGTGCTTAGAGCTGTGCGGCCGGCGGCGGGGGCGCAGCGCCGGGGGGGGGGGGGGGGGGGCGG